CAGGTGTGGATTTCTTTTTCTTTGTGCTGTTTCATATCATTATACTTCCTGCATCTGTGAATTTATGTTTTTCATTAAATACAGAGAAGCCTTGCTGGAACACTGTGAGTGGGGTGTAAATTGCAGAGTCACAGTACTGTGATTGCGGCACAGGGGCCACCAGAAGTCCATCCAAGCAGTCAGGCCCTCCGTTCTCAGCTGTAGGTTGGCACGACTTGTTGGCAGTTGTCCACTCTGGCTTAAACACTGAAGATATTGATTCTGGGTCTTGAGAATGGCTGGAACTTCCAGGACATAGATAACAATTTCAACATTCTCTCCTTTAATTGATTGTTTCACTGGCCTGATTACGGGGAGACTGGTTGAGGTTATAACTGGGGATGCAGACACTCATCTTCACCAGATGGGGTTGGCTGTGGTTTCTCTGCCTGGGTGGCCTGTGGGAGAGGATCTGCATACTCGCGGGGGTCAGTGTAGGGTTTTGCTGTATCTCCTCTCCTCCACTCTCTCCTCCTGGGATTCTTGTCACACCTACGTCAGACCTTATTCTCTTGTACACATCTTTGAACATTTCCTTCATGTTTCCCATCTCCTCGTCCCTGTGGTATTCTGGGCCTCCTTGCATGTTTCTTCCACTACACTAATGCTTTCTTCAGCTGTGTCTAATCTGCTACTTAACCTACCCATTGAATTCTATTTCAGTGATTATAATTTTCATTTCTAAAAGTTCTACTTTAAAAGCCTGCCTTTTCATGAGTGGTAGTCTCTTACTGCTTTCTTGTCACTGTGTCTGTCTTCTTTTTTATTCTTTTTTTAAAAATTGAAGTATTGTTGATTTACAATGCTGTTTGTTTCTGGTGTACAGCAAAGTGATTTACATTTTATATATATATATATATATATATATATATATATATACACATATATATATTTTTTCATATTATCTTTCATTAGAGTTTATTACAAGATATTGAATACAGTTTCCTCTGCTATACAGTAGGACCTTGTTTATTTTATATATAGTGGTGTGTATGTTAATCCCAAATTCCTAATTTATCTCCCCAGCTTTGGTAACCATAAGTTTGTTTTCTATGTCTGTGAGTCTATTTCTGTTTTGTAAATAAGTTCATTTGTATTTTTTTTTTTTTTTAGATTCCACATGTAAGTGATGTCATATGGTATTTGGCTTTCTCTTCCTGACTTACTTCACTTAGTATGATAATCTCTAGGTTCACCCATGTTGCTGCAAATGACATTATCTCGTTCTCTTTTATGGCTGAGTAATATTCCATTGTGTATGTGTGCATATATACACATAGATATATATATATATATATATATATATATTCGTTTGGCCAAAAAGTTTATTCGGATGTATGGAAGAACCTGAATGAACTTTTTGACCAACCTAATACCACATCTTCTTTATCCATTCACCTGCTGATGGACATTTGGGTTGCTTCTATGTCTTAGCTATTGTGAATAGTGCTGTTATGAACATTGGGATGCATGTATCCTTTGGAATTAGTTTTCTCCAGATATATGCCCAGGAGTGGGATTTCTGGATCATATGGTAGGTCTATCTTTAGTTTTTAAAGGAACTTCCATACTGTTTTCCATAGTATGGAAGCCAATTTATAGTCCCACCAGCAGTGTAGGAGGGTCCCCTTTTCTCCACACCCTCTTCAGTATTTGTTATTTGTAGACTTTCTGATGATGGTCATTCTGATCAGTGTGAGGCGTTACCTCATTGTAGTTTTGATTTGCATTTCTCTAATATAATTAGCGACGTTGAGCATCTTTTCATGTGCCTGTTGCCCATTTGTGTGTCTTCTTTGGAGAAATGTCTGTTGAGGTCTTTGCCCATTTTTTGATTTGAGTTATTTTTTCTGTTAATTGAGTTGGATGAGCTGTTTGTATATTTTGGAAATTAAGCCCTTGTCAGTCACAACATTTGAGAATATTTTCTCCCATTCCATAGGTTGTCTTTTTGTTTTGTTTATGGTTTCCTTTGCTGTGCTTTCAAGCTTTTACGTTTGATTAGGTCCCATTTGTTTATTTTTGCTTTTATTTCTTTTGCTTTGGGAGACTGACCTAAGAAAACGTTGCTACGATATATGTCAGAATGTTTTGCCTATGTTTTCTTCTAGGAGTTTTATGTTGTCATGTCTTATATGTCTTTACGCCATTTTGAGTTTATTTTTGTGTATAGTGTGAGGGAGTGTTCTAACTTCATTGATTTACATGCAGCCGCCCAACTTTCCCAACACCACTTGCTGAAGAGACTGTCTTTTCTACGTTGCATATTTCTGCCTCCCTTGTCGAAGATTAATTGATGGTAGGTGTGTGGGTTTATTCCTGGGCTCTCTATTCTGGTGATCCGTATGTCTGTTTTTGTGCCAGTACCATGTTGTTTGATTACTGTAGCTTTGTAGTATTGTCTGAAGTCTGGGAGGGTTATGCCTCCTGCTTCATTCTTTTTCCTCAGGATTGCTTTGGCAATTCTGGTCGTTCATGGTTCCGTATAAATTTTAGGATTACTTACTCTAGTTCTGTGAAAAAACGTCATGGGTAATTTGATAGGGATCACATTAAATCTGTAGATTGCTTTGGGTAGTATGGCCATTTTAACAACATTAATTTTTCCAATCCAAAAGCATGTCTTTCCGTTTTAAATCATCTTCGGTTTCCTTCATCAGTGTTTCATAGTTCTCAGCATATGAGTCTTTCGCCTCCTTGGTCAGGTTTGTTCCTAAGTATTTTTGTTTATTTTTTGATGCGATCATAAAAGGGATTGTTTTTTTTTTTTTTTTTTTTACTTTCCCTTTCCAATGTCATTGTTAGTGTAAAGAAATGCAACAGGTTTCTGTATGTTGATGTTGTATTCTGCTACCCTGTTGAATTTATTAGTCCTAGTAGATTTTGTGTGGACCCTTTAGGGCTTTCTATATACAGTATCACATCATCTGCATATAATGACAATTTTATCTCTTCCCTTGTAATTTGGATACCTTTTATTTCTTTTTCTTGTCTGACTGCTGTGGCTAGGACTTCCAGTACTATCTATGTTGAACAGAAATGGTGACAGTGGGCATCCTTGTCTTGTTCTAGATTTTAGCGGGAAGGTGTCTGATTTTTGTAAACACTTCATGTGTAACTATTCTCTTGCCTGCATTATATGGCAATTTCAGTATCTGCAGTTTTTGTGGTTTTATATCTGTTCTTTGTTGATTTTGTAGACCCCCAGTCAATGAGACTCACCTTCCTGTGTACTTGGTGATTTGTGTAAGCTCATTGCTTTGATCTCATGATCAGGGACGCTACAGAGTCTAAGTAGGGAAA